TCCTCCCTCAGGAACTCGCGGTGTGAACGCGATCTGCTCTTTAGTTCATCAGAATCAGAAGAGTTCTCATGAACTAAGTTCTGATGAACCTTTGTGGGAAAAGTACTGCGGTGTGAAAGCACCTTATGTCACTTAATTGATAAATCAACAACTGGTCTCCCTAGGTTATTGAACCTATATGCAGTTTCTACTTAGATTTTTGCGAAAACGTAGAAACACATTTATATTCCAACATGTGCTTTATAGACCATAATCGACACGTTTCCATATCAACCACACCTGAAACTATCTTGCCTTGGAGCTAGAGATCCTCTCTTAAGATCTGGAGGACAACATTGGTAGAAGAGCTGAGACACACAAACACATAGCCACTACAAAAATCAATGAATGGACCATGTGATGTTTCTCTGCTAATCCACTCCCACCACCAAAACACCAGCCTGGCCCCGACGCTCGAGCTTCAAACACACGGAGCCTGCAGCACTGTTGGGATTACATCACTTGGCTGAATACACTCCTGAACAAACATACAGATGATGCTTGTTCAGCAACCACAACAACAACAACAACCTGAGGAGAGGCAGTTAACCCACTGTCAGGGGGTAACTAGCACATCTCCACCAGCATCTAAAACTTCACCAAACACGGAGTAGAGTTGACTCTTCAATCCAACACCCAACGAGGAATTTGCCCCTTTGTTAATAGCATTATCTGATAGGACATGTCATTTCAGAGGCAGATATATTGCCAGCCACTCAACAGTACAGTTAGGGTGCAAAGAAACAAAACACACAGTCGTGAGACACTGCCCACACACACACGCCATTGTGAGTCATGTAAAAATTACACTCAGTATCTCTAGTTTCGGCAGCAGAGGAGTGGGGTTATGGCTTCGGTCCTCTACTGTTGGTTTTGATTTATATTGTTCTGACATCTGATACAAACAAAACAAACTGGATACGGAGATGCAGGAAAATAAAATCATTGTTTATCCTGGGAAAGATCATCTCTCTTAGTTTGTAGACCAAGTGAGTAATTAAACCCCACTCTTCTTCAAATAATAGCAGCTGACCTGTACGTGCCCTGCTTAATGGTAGCTGTTGAGAATAATTATTATTCAAATATGAAATCTCTATTGACAGAATTCCATATAATATTCAGATTTTGTGGAGTCTAATAAGGTTTTGATACATTTTTAGGATAGCACGTTGGTTTCTAAATTCATCTTTGTGACTTGAACTGCCATACATGTTGAATCCATCCCACATCCACAAATGAATCCTGCTCAATCTGCAAAAATGCAAATCACCTCTAGTTGTCGCTTGAGGACAAATGCAATATAAAATGGCCATAACCAAGTGTTCCAAACTGATTAAAATGTGATTTAGAGCAAGTCATCCCCGTAAAAACAGAGTCAAATCACAGCCTATCAGCAGCTGTATTCTGATAATCGAGATTTTCATTTAAAGTGGACCTATCATGCTATATTTAAATGATATATTGTAGGGCCATACCTATATAAGGTATATTTATACGTTTCTGTTTTCAAAATACCAAACAGATCATGCATTTTAGCCATGCCTCATTTTGCTCTATTTGCTGTTCTCCAGCACTGTTTTTGCAGGGGGCTGATTCTGTGAGCTGCAGCTGACCACGCCCCCCTGCAGGAGAGGGGAGCCGTGCGCTGATGAAGTCAAGAGGGGGAGAAAAATAGATCTCCGTCCTCCGTGTTTTATTATATTATTATAGGCCTATAGAGTCGTTATTCATTTGTTTTAAAGCTCAATAAATAACAAAGACGACCTTTGACCGGCACTTTTCTAATTTTGTCCGGAAGATTTAAACTTTAACGGACATCTTGGCCGGCGAAAGAAACTGAAACTGAAACTCTGCCGCACGGTCCCCTCGTTCCTTGGAAGAGGCGGAGAGGTGGGTGTTTGTCCTCTGCTGGTGGACTAACCGGAGAGAATTACAGTGCTTGCCTCGACGGGGAGGGATTGCATTGAATTAAAGCAGCGGGAGCAAACGCTTGCCTCGGGGAGGGAGAAAAAAAGCCACAGCGGAGAATAAACAGAAGGGTAACCATGGTAACCATGCGCAGGAAGTCTTCTTCGCTGCTTTTGTGGCAGACTACAGCGCCACTTACAGGCCTGGCATATGTACTACAGCGTCTCCAGCGCTTTCGAGCGGCAATGGCCGGCCGTGGCCCAACCCCACATTCCCCTGATAGGTGGAGAGTTGGCCCAATAGCCGTAGCGCCACTTTCCTGACGTCAGGACAGTGTTCAAATCTGGATCAGATTTTATCAGATCCGTTGCAGCCCCTTTTTTAGAGATTTGGGTATGGAGGAAAATAGAGAGGGTTGTGTTTTCTGACACTTGGTGAGTTCCGTGGAACACCGGGGACACATATTCATGTATAAAAGACGTACAAAAGTGCATTTTGCATGATAGGTCCCCTTTAAAGCAGGTTCACAAATGTACAAACCTTTACTAGCATGTCTTAAATTCATGTTCAGGTAATTATATTTGTACCAGTATAGGTAGATTTGGTTTGAAGTTGAGGGATCCATTATGGAAAAGTCTTTAAAAAGTGAACCCCATGCTCCATCACATTTTCAAACCACTAGTACCAACATTAACCAATCATATGGAGTTTGCATTGTTGGCGGAGGTTTGTGTTTGACTGCTTCATTGTGATATTATGTTGTATAATTCATGTTGCTGACCCCTATCTCTGTACCTTCTCCCCTCAGTAGAAACAGAGCTGATGGTATCTAATGGGGGCTGGCACCTCTGGGCTGCTCATCTTCCACGCCTTTAATGAACGAATAAAGACCCGTTAGCTTCTCTAAACACAGGCGCTCAGATCCCTCATTGGACCGGCTCATGAATACCACCCTGCACTGATTGCCCCCCCAGCGACTATTGGTCCCCTCCAATCGGCCCCCCAGCAGCGGGTCGCTCGGGCCCTCTGCTCCTCCTCACTCCTGCTGACTCCATAATGATGCAGCCTGCTGATGACAGGAAGAAACCCCGCTGCTGCTTTCTGCATGGTGGCATTTTCATAATCGACCCCCGGCGCTCTATTGCCAAGCAGTCCGGCTAATGGTCATGTTTTTTTTGTTGCATTGATTCATATGCAGTATTTGTGTGCCTGTAGTATGTCAGAAAATGTTGCAAGGTCATATATTGCAAGGTTGGCTATTCACTGATGATATACAACATAGGAAAGCAGCAAATCCTCACATTGGAGAAGCTGGAAACTGAAAATGTGGGTTTTTTAAATGACAATCTTTGTTAATTATCAGAAATGTTTTGCCAATTGACTTATGACTTCCCCTCTTTTCAAATGAATGCAGATCTGCCCATCATGTTTCTCCTCCCTCAACATCCTCCTCCTCCTCCTCTTCTTCCTCCCTCTCTGTGGTGTCTCTGGCTGATGCAAAGAAACCTCCCACAGGTCACAACACCAGGCGCCCCCTCCTCCTTTTGTAACATCGATCCCTCATTAGAGCCTTTCCAGGTGAAGAGCGAGTGTTTGTGTGTGCTTTCATGTAGCAGAGAAAATCAGATACTACTCCTAGGCTGAGTTCTGATGATATTGCCTCGGCCACACTAGGAAGCATGAACTCTGTTTAACCCGACCTTCACCAAACGCATCTTTGGCTCAGTGAGCACACATGGCCTTTTTCTCCTGCATCCACGAACACCTCTCATGTACCAGGAAGCTTTTAGGCAGTCCAGCTCTCTCCTGGAGTGTTTCTGTAAACAGGTGGAGTTTCTTCACATGAAGGAAAACCCTTGTGATGCGTTCGCTGCCTGAAATCTACCTCACCTGATGCCCAGAGCGCAGTGAAGCTGAACAGTACCCAGAACAGTTACTGTTTACTCTCAATACTGCAACTAGTTTAATCATGAGCACTCCTTTGGAGAGACATTTTGAGAGCCCCCACCTCTTTAAATAAGCTCACACAGGTAATGTCTACAGATACTTCCAGGAGAATTTCCCACAGATGATGGTGACAGCTTCTCCTCTGCTATCGTGTAACTTTAGCTGAACTGCCAAGGGGCAAACTGTCAGTGAGGTTTGGTCAGAGAGGTGGAATTTACACAACTGACTTGCAGCATTCTTGCACAAATAGCATAGTAATAACTGGATTTGGAGGGAAGGTTCACTACACTATATCAAATGAGTGCTTACACTGCCAAGTAAACGATTACGATTGAAATAAATTGTTTATTTTGCTGTGATTGGTTCATTAGAAAACGATTTGAAGACATCATTTGACTTTTTTATCATTTCTGACACTTGAAAATCATTATTCTGTTTGCCTATAAATAAAGCAATCATCTGTCTTTCTAAACAGACATGAGTTTCTGTGAGATAGATTTACAACCATCAGTCAGGCTAAAGGAAATACACTAATAAAAGCCTCCTCAGGGGGCAACCTGTCAGTTAGGAGGTGAGGTCACAGTGAGGTGGAATTAACATGACTGACTAGTAGCATTCCTGCTAAAATAGCATTGTAATAACCAGAGGGGAAGGGAGGTTCACTAGACATAAATCAAATGAGTCCATACACTGGGTAAACAATTACAGTTGAATTAATTGATGATCAATTTGACTGAAGAAAGGGATTAGAGTACATCATATTTTAATATTTCTCATACTTTGTAAATGAAATCTGTTAACCTAAGGAAAGCAATCATCTGTCTTTCTAAACTAGCCTCAGTTTCTGTGAGTTAGATTTACAACCATTGCACAGGCTATTGTTAGTGTTCCAGCACTTTTTTTCAAGGAAATACACTAATAAAAGCCCTTTTGGTATCACCTAGTGATCATGTCTTTATCATAAATCACTTTGACACATGACAGAAAAGCCACAACACCCGGGCTCAGTGAAGTAAGTTAGCCTGTCCTATGAAGCCTCCCCCCGGTGCAGCAGGTGTCCCTCCGCGGCAGGAGGACGCCAGGAAAACAAACAAGCTCCGTCTTACCTTGTAGACATTCTCCGTTATACGGTGCACCTCGTCGGTCCGGGACATCCTTGTTGGAGCGTCAGTCAGAACCATAGACTAAAGCTTTCCTTTTAGGTGAGGTCGGGATGCTTTTCCGGGCTGTGGCGGGAGAAATAACACAGCTGCAGGCGGGGACTCGCGGCTCTTGTCTTGCCTGTGACAGAGAGACAAGCTCGGTTGGCTGTGGGATCCCTGCTTTTATAGGAAAGTCCTCCGCGGCGCCCACACGGCTCCCCTCCGCCGGAGCCTCCCGTCGGAGCGCAGAGGCGGACCCACTTCAGAGGGGCGGTGCTGCCTTCATGGGCGGTGGGAAATCAAACATACAACAGCAGCCTAAAGATTGGATAAATCATGCTAGTGTTGTACAAGAATGCATGCATGATTAACATAAAAAGTAAGTAAAGTAAAGGACTACATTGTGGGATCAAATGGCAGATTCCATAGCAAAAAGCTTTGAATATGATCATTTTTGTGTAAATAAAATAAAAACAAGATAAATTGTTCAGTGTTTTATCACAAGAGTTGTATTCCTGAAGAAAATGTACATGGTCAAATGAGGTTAACTCTGCTGCTGGGTCCCTATACTACTAATAATAATAATAATAATAATAATAATAATAATAATAATAATAATAATAATAATAATAATAATAATAATAATAATAATAATAATAATATTAATATTAATATTAATAATGATAATAGCCTGCTACTTTTATTGTTTAATATTGAGTTTTAAAAAGAGAATTAAAATGTGATTTAACCACCCATTCCTTTCTCTAAATGGTGTACAATTATTTCACACCCACGCCACGATTGATGTAGGAGAACTGTATTTAAATTAAAAAAAACTATAATTTTGCAATTTGCAACATCGAGCAACATCGTTGAGTAATGGAGTCCTTTATTATGGAAGAATTTGACACATAGGCCACAACATTTTTGGAATCTTCTCAAATGTTTATGCTTGGCAAAAAAAAATCAAAAATGCCAAAGGCTTGAAGTCATGTGGATATGACTAAAGACATCGGTAAATGAGTACAGTCTATTATTTTTCTGCCTTTGGTTTTATGACTACTAATTAATTCTAAACAACCTCAACTTGAAGACACTAGGATTTTACGGTGAGTCCGTGAATGCAGCCTATAATTTAAAAGCCTCGCCTCCTCCGCACGCGCTACCCACGCCACCGCCTCTGCCGCATCCATTCAGAATACCCGAGCAAGCATCTCACAGGAACCAGAGCAGTCTACACATTTAATAAGAAGAATGATATCTACTCCAACATTAAAGCACTGTAATATTTCATGATACTCCTTAAGGCACTTGAATTTAGGATGTAGTCTAGTATTTATTATTTTTAAATATGGATCCTGTCAATACTGTCTACTTCTGTAGGGCTGAGGTTGATAATGCACTGTAATGTACCTGGAGGTAAGATAACTGTTGATCCTTTATTTGTTTACCCTGCTCTATATTTGTGTGGCTCCACTCCTTTTGGCTCAGTGGGTTTTGGTTGGTATGAGTGGGATGGAGCCACATTTTCTTGGATTACAAACCTTGTATGGTGGGTTGGGGAATCCCACACATTTCAACGCATCACGATCTGAAGGCCTTTCAATGAGTAAAAGCACAGAAGAAGATAACAGAGAAGCAGCAGTGTGTCACGCCTTTTCTATTCTGCAAAACACATTTTAGAGAGATGTTATATGAGATATTCAAGGGCTGCTGGTAGATAAAGTGGAGCATCAATAAACCACCAGAACAGACCCCATTTTGCAAAGCGACCAAACTGACACATTGAAAATCTATCAAGCATGTTTGATCTTTACCAGAACAAACAGCAGCGCTCCCTCTGTCAGCCAGATATTGATGTATTCCTCTAAGTGTAGGCTACTCAATTCATGCAGTTAGTTTCCATGATCAAGTATAGCTTTCCATTGTGTTTGGTGATTGCCAATCCAACTAGAAGTCTAATCGTACACAAATAAATTAAGAACATGATTGTTGATTACGGTTAGTTCAAGTACAGCAGAGCTCTAGACCTCAGACTCGAGTCAGGCATTCATTCTCAACAATCAGGACATGTGACTTGAGAGAGAAGAGAAAAAAGTTTAACTTGGAAAAAAACTGTAATAATGGAGTCACTGATAGTAAAACACACTCAGAACAAATTTAAAAGGCAACATTTTTCATTTTTCGTCTTTTTGTATTGCTCAGCATTAAGAGATCTGAAATACTTGCATCCGACAATTTGCTGAGGAAGTCTTGAACTTAAAGGATTTTACACTTGGATAATGAGACTGGAGGCTGTGGCTCAGTGGATAGTATGATGGACTTCGAATCAGGGGATAGCAAGTTTGAGTCCCACTGCAGTCAGCATGTCGTTGTGTCCCTGGGCAAGACACTTCACTGGTAGGAAATAGAAAATCTGGTATGGGAAAAGTAGAAGTACCAGAGTGTAGGAATACTCTGTTACAAGTAAAAGTCCTGCAATCAAAATGTTACTCAAGTTTTACACTTTAAGTAACAAAAGTAAAAGTAGTCATTGTGCAGATTGGTCCATTTCTCAAGTAAAGTACGAATCCCTACAAATTGTCCTTAAGTACAGTACTTGAGTAAATGCACTTTACACCTCTGTAGCTTAGTTTACTACAAAGACAGCGAAACTGGAAACAACTAGATACACTTAAACTGGAGTACTGAGCATTGAAGATATTACCTACTTCTACAAACAGATAGATTCAAGATATATAGCTGTGTACTGAATCAGGGATAACATTAAATGATAGAAGTTGATCTACAGGAGAATAAATGTATGGAATCATTGTAATTGTATTTTGAATAGCCACCTGACACCTGAATTGTGTGTTTTCTTTTACATACAGTAACTCTAGACTGAGGTTAGTTGTCCCAAAGTGTAGAACAAAGTTACAGCTTTATTATGGCAGCTATCGCACCAAAGAATACGTCGTAGCAGTGTCACACAGATGCCTTTTATTTATTCATTAACTTTGAATGCCCATGTTATTAGAGATATGTCTGTGTTGTTTTTAGAATGTGTGTCAGGATGGATCCCTTGTCTTGTTATCTGCAAACTCAATCTACCTACGGGTACTAATAAATAACCTGAACCTGACAACTAAAGACACTTTGATCATAAATTGCATTAAAATTCACTAAAAAGCAGAATGAGTATTTGATCAAGGGGGCAACCTCAAAACCCCTCTTATATTTGTCCCCCAATATTAAAACAACATACTTGACAGTAGCTATGTCACATGATATCAAGTAAATACTCACGTATTAAAGGTCCCCTATTTTACAGTTTTCCATCAATATATTATGTCTCAGATATATACAAAACATGTCTCTGAAGTGTTTGGCTCCAAACACCAAACAGATCATTGTAGCATCCCATAATCCTCTCTGTTTCAGCCCTGTTTCAAAAGTGCTGATTCTCTGTCTGTTACTTTATGTGCTGTTTACACGATAACACAAACGGTTGTATCCACAACTTTTCTCTTTCGTTTAGCCTGTTCGGCCACACGAGGCCGTAACGGAAACGCGGAAACGGACCCCGCAAACGATAACGGGTCTCAAGGTGGATAGATCTGCAACCGGAACGCTCTGGGGGGGCAAACGGCTCTGTGTGTACGCCCTATACGATCATTTCCTGATAACGATGAAGCCATAGCCCCACCTCTGCTGCTCACTGCTGTAGCATGGTCAGTAGCTACTGTCAGTAGCTACTGACCATGCTACTGCTACTGCTACTGACCATGCTACAGATGTTAGTGCAAAATCTACAGCTCCTCTACCACAACCATCAGCAACAAGTGGACATGGAGAATTACATGAACTACATGTTGCTAAATCCACCGCGGAGAATAAACAGAAGGGCAACCATGGCAACCATGCTCGGGGCTCTTCTTCACTGCTTTTGGTGTATTTTGTGGCGAAAGTACAGCGCCACTTACAGGCCCGGCATATGTACTACAGCGTCTCCAGCGTTTCCAGTGGTCTCGTGTGAACGGACACGTTAAATGAGCCGAATGCGTGTGAACGGAATACATTTTTGAAAACGAATTCGGTGCGTAAACGCAAACGTTCCCGTGTAAATGGGGTCTTAGATGAAAATAAGGAGCCACTCCCCACGCCCTTCTGAGATATTTGGTTAAAAAGAACACAATGGTGCTCTAGGACAGGGGTGTCAAACACAGTGGGCCAAAATAAAAAAATCGGTACTAGTCGAGGGCCGGACTGGTTCAATGTTTATTGCAGAACTTATTGAAATGAACTTATTGCACATATTAAACCTGGAACTAACTAAGCTGAAATTATTGCCTATAAAAACAACATTAAACATTAAATAATCAGTTGCATTCATTTCTTATGGCTCTATCTGCAGAGTCATTTCTTATGATTGCATTTCTCCACAGCTTCAAAAAAACTATTTCCCTCAAAGAAAAACCAAACATGCTCTGTTGTCTCAAGATAAAAAGTGCAGAAGGAAACATCCATGTAAACTCAGTGTGCTGCTGTGATGCTAGTTCAGATACTTGGCATCTCATCTCGGGTGCAAGTTCATCAATGTTTGGGCTCAGGCTCTGAGCTGAGGAGACCCTCAGGATTCAGTGAAGGTGTACGTGCAATATACCAGCGGGCCAGATCTAATAGTAATGAGAAATTATCCTGCGGGCCGAAATTAAATCCACCAAGGGCCTGATTTGGCCCCCGGGCCTTGAGTTTGACACATGTGCTCTAGGAGGAGATTCAGGTGATAAGGGGGGGGGGGGGGGGGTTACCTTGGTTGCTGATTGGCCAATGGTTACACAAGCCAAAAAAACGTTATGACATCATAAAGTGGCCAAAATCTGATCAGCTCATTTTCAGACAGGTTTTTATATAAATGGATCAGGACAAAAAGAGAGAGAATCTTTTTCCTGAAACTTTCAGAGTCTCTTTACACAGAGGGGACACATGCTGATGTATAAAAGACATGAAAAAGTGGATTTTGCATAATAGGTGACCTTTAAAGACTTTTGATGTAACTTGGACTTGTCCTTACAGAGTTTAGACTTACTATTACAAAATGTGAGCCTTAACATGAGATGGTCCTAAATGATGTGAGATTTTAGTTGGCTCTGCCCTTGTAATTTACCATAGTTCTGCATGAGTGTGTGTGTTCAGTCCACAGTGGAGGAGTATCAGGTAGGCAGGTGTTAATGTGGGCAGGA